ACCTTTAGAGCATATTGTAGACATCTGCAATATGCTCTAAAGGTCTAGCTAACGCTAATGCGTCAGGCATAAATTAAGGTTAGCTCTTTGCTCTCAAATTCCCTGTAACTTCTAACAGCTGCAGGTTAGACGGAAACCACTTCAAAACAATCCCATTTTAAAATGCCTGAACTCTAAGAATCTTCTTTATCTGAATGATCAGTCCAGCTCTTCCATTTTCTATCAAAACTTTAAATCTATCACCATCATACTAACTACTGCAAGGCAGGAATGTTTCTGGCTATAGAAGAAAAAAACAACAACTATATATTTTCATATCTAAGGAAATGTTTCTAAATTTAAAGAAAAATGCTATTATCAAGGATTTCCATAAACATCGGTGCCTAATCTAATCGTAAAAGAAAATGTCTTAGTTGTCCTCAGTGACTTAGACAACTTTCATTGTCATGTCGTATACACAGAGTGCGTACAAAACAAGAGTTCATTTTATACAGCTTTCATGACATTTCCTTTTCTTAAAGTGCAGCAGTGATCAGATGTAAACATTGGGGGAAAATAATAATAAAGCAGTGTTAGCAGCTCCCAGGCGAAAGAGTAAAAGAAAGCTGATGGTGGTCTAAGAAGGTCAAAGACAAGAAAAGAAATCAGAATGACAGATCCTAGCAAACTTCAGCGTGTCCTTCAGTGCTCACGCTGGTGCCTCAGGCTAAGAGGTATTGGTGGAATGTGACAGCAAGGTGAAGGCAAAGAGAAAAGGCCTGAATGGTGTCAGCAGGAAAGCAGTCCTCAGGGAGACGCCATGCTCTGTGGGCTAGCTAGAGTGGCTGGGACTCAAATGGACCATGACCTGCTTCCAGGACCATCTGCTGAGTATAAAGTTCTGCTTAGAGAACGACCGCAGGGCTCTGCGATGTTAGAAAGCATGAAGCTCTGAAAATAACCGCCGGCTTCTGTCAGGGCGAATACAAGGCGTCATATCAACAGTCAAACCGTGTTTTACAGCCGAGGTACCAGGCGTCTGTCAAAAACACTGATTTCACTCTTATTTATGGATAGATACTAAATATTGTTTAAACAGGAGCAGCTAATTAGGAGAAACATTGCTTCATGTTCACCATCCTGTACAGTGAAACCTGCATGCTGAGATAAACAGATTAAATACAGAGAAAGCAGCAACTTTTCAGACTCGTTTTAACATTAAAGTTTATCTTCAGGGAGGAAAATCTTTCCGAACTCTGATGATTATTACTTATTTCTTTCTGTAGAATCAATCCCATCCTTTTCATCATCCAGTCCTCTGCTCTCTCCTGCAGCTTGGACTCATTCCTCAGTTTTCTGAGCATGGTCCGAGCACCAGACTCACTTAAGCTAATGCTTTATATTGCCGAGGTCTTGCATGAAGAGCTTTTAGTTGCACATTTGCGTCGGCTGCTGCCTGGTAGCCTAATAGGTCTTCTATTAGTCATCCAGTCACGCTATATGGATGCTGATGTTGTACTAATGATATAGGAAGGGCAGCAGACCATCCATGCTGCTGCTGTTTATAGCTGTTGTGATTATTTTTCTATTTCTCTGTCAGCGGTACGATGTGATCACACTGACTCACTCCTTTCTTTATTCTGCAGGCTAAGTCAGATGGACATTTATATCCTAATATTTATTCTCTCCATATTTCAGGTCATTACTTTGGAAGTCTCTTCGTATTTGTGGTTCTGTAATGATCCAGTGTCTCTGTGGGATAAACGGTCCAGCTGTGGTCAGCTGGACCTGAACGCTGAGATGCTCCTATATCACATCTATCCACTCATCTCTGAACGCAGGAGGCGCAGTAAATGGGAACGAACCCACTGACTGGGAAACAACCCAGCAGACTCATCGAGATTAAAAACCACAATAAGGAAACTTGAATTATAATTTTAAAAAACTTTTTAGGCAGTTTTATAGCAAACAGTGTTATATTAAAAAAATAAAAGATAGCATCTGAATTCAGTTAGCAAAAATCAAATAAATGAAAAGAGTAAATGAGATTAGTGTAAATGGGCATGAAGTTTGGATGTTTCCAGAGATGATCTCAGCAGCATTCCTTCTTCCTAATCTAGTTATCCATGATGAACATGTCCAATTAACTGCCAGCGGATCCCCTGGTTCCTGCAGGAAGCTGATTAGCTCTTGTCCGCAGCCTTTGCCATAAATCCCCAGCCGGCTGCTGTAACGTCTCCAGGTTATGGTAATATTGAAAATGTTGCTTGATTGACACTTCTGTTAATCTAGATTAAAGCTCATATCTGTTTTCTCTATGGTGCATAAAACATGCTCAGTTACACACTTTAAGAGACGTGTTGTAGAGCTGCAGGGTTTCTGGTGGAGAGAAGTTCTCCCTCAGTAGGGAAGAACATTCATTGCAATAAATGTCGTTCTAGGATGGTAGAAAAAACTCACGGAACATTTATTTGTTCTGCACTGCTGTAATCTGAATTATATTATCATTATTCCGACTTCTAACCTCCTCAGTTAAGATGGACAAAACTAATGTAATGTAAGTTGGCTGGTAACTTTAGTCCAACTGGAAAGTTTTCAATCACTTATGTTTTACTCTTATTCCAAATTGTAATAATCTTAGAAAATAACAAATCTTATTTATTAGAATTTAGCATAAATTACCCAATTTTCAGATTTTTTTGTTTTATTTTAATAAATTTTAATTCAATAATCAAAAGAAAATCTAACTTTTCAGCACTGACCCAATGCGGTTTTGTGTGAAGAACTCTGAAGAAGCCGATTATTTTCAGAGTTTGGAATACGGCTGTAAAGTAAGGAAATGAGGAAACCAGCGCTATTAACACGCTGTGATGATGCAGCTAATAAACGGTTTCTGAAAAGCAAAGAAAAAGGTAAATTCTGAGTTCACTGAGTCTGACTTTAAAGGAGCTTTATTTTCCAGGTAGCAGTGGGAGACCTCAGGGTTCGGCCCCAACCAAGAAGGTTCAGCAAGGACTCATGTTTTTAAAGAATCAGAAAATATTACATGTAGGTTGAACATCCAATGACTTTATTTGGCATTATTCTGGGTGTGAGGAGTGAGAATGAGAGCGAAGGCACCAGCTGACGAACCTGGGTGAGGTGGGGTGGGAACTATTGTGATCTTTTCTGCCTACAGCCTCTTTACAAGTTTGTCTGAACTGAAGCTCAGTCTCGTCCAATAACAGTTGCCTGCTATGTTGTTTCATGGTTATGTGACATTGAAAGGTAGAAGTTATTAGTCACTGGCTACACCTTTGTTAAAACAATCAGATTCATTTAATCTCCATTGCAAGAATGACTTTTACTGTAAAACTAAAGGCACCAATTTGATGTTAACTTTCCACAGGTGGCCATAAATTTGTGACAGAGGGGGAACATTTGGAGCTGATCTCTATCACCAAGGAGCAGTCGGGAACATACGAGTGCATTGCCTCTAACGACATCTCCAGCTCCGACATAAGGAGGGTCCAGGTCACGGTCAACTGTAAGCACCACACTCTCACATTCATGGTCACAGTTTGCCTCAATGGCCTTTTAAATGTCATTAATCTCCGTTACCACTTCATCCTATGGCCCTTTAGCCACAGGGCCAACGTCACCTTGCTCTACTTCACCAATTTTCAAACGTTTCCCTAACTGTATAAAGGTTTCCACCCATAGTTGACTTGAACTCTGAACCAGTCCTGCAGTTGATCCTCTACTAATCTTGACTTTACCATCTTAATCTACTAAGGCAGAGGAAGCTGTGCCACAGATCTCTGTAATGGCTCAGAAAGTAGGAGCCAGAATTCAGGCAAGACAGAAAGTGGGTTACTTAAAAAGCGTTTATTCAAACCATGACTGAAACGCATCTGCAGCGGCTGCAGCGGGTAGAGCGCCTGAGGCAGAAAAGTTTATTGGAGAGAAACACAGGTTAGTTATTACGATAATCTGAGGATTATCATGAACGTGTGAGTCACTAACCTGGTTTAGCAGTTCAATCCCTGCCCAGTGAAGGAGGTAAGATGCAGCCGGTGTGTCGGCCGATGACAAGACACAGCGGACACCGCCAGAGTGTTCCAGACGCTGAAGCCTAGAAGTCTGTCGAGCTGACAGGAGATCAGATCCGAGCAGATGATGGAGGAAGGCAGGATAATCCAGAGGGTGAAGTCCAGAGGCAGATACTGCTTCAGTCTACAGAAGAATCAAACAAGACTCCAAAGACGGGTCAGGCAAACAGATCAGACAGGGGCAGAGAGGCTCAAAGGTCCAAATACAGAAACAGATCAGGATCAGGCAAACAGAAATCACTATTAGAAATGCTGGAGAACTCTCAACACCAAAGGCTAAAGAATAACCTGGCACTGATGGCTGGGACCAAGGAGTTTAAATAGATGCAGGAGCAGGTGGACCAGATGAGCAGTGATGAGGAACAGGGCAGAGTTAGACAGGTGAATTATCAATCGAGCCAACCTTCAGCGGCAAAATCATGACCATCTTATGGATAGAAAAAAACATGCACACAGTCTAACAGTCCAAAAAAAGAACCCAAACCTTCGGTTCACTGGTTTTTATCCTGCAGACCAGTGTTAGTTAACTTCAGTGCTGGAGGGCCGTCGTACTGCCTGCTTCAGCACACTGGATTTCCATCCATGGCTGTTTACCGGGCTTTTGATGAACTGCAGTCATTTGGTTGGTTAAAGCAGACTCATCTTAAAGCTGCAGTAATCCAGCCTTTGAGGTCTGGAGTTGACTACCTCTGGTAGACCCACACCCAATTAGGGAAGAGCACTACCTCAGTGTATCAGTGAAGGCAGAGTGTGACACGCCAGGGGGCCTTATCTGTTACCAACAGATGTTTCCTTCTCGCTTGTCCCTTTTGTTAGTGAGCAGTATGTTCTGCACCACAGAAGAACAGGATGTTCTAGTTCCCCACTACTCCAACACATTCACTTCCTCAAGAAAGCTGCAGAGATTCATTTCAGCAAAACAGTTAAACATGAGGTCATGGTTATGTGCTGGATTATTGGTTATTTGCTTGACTGATATATAAACTATCCAGCAAAAGGCGGTGAAAATGGGAATTATTTTGACTTCGTCTCAAAATCCTTCTTTTTTTAAAAGATGTTCAAATCACTGAGGTTCCTCTATGAGTGCATTCAATCATTGCCCAAATGTATAATTCAAGGATGTTTGTGTCTAGATAACATTCCTTTATGCAGGGTTTAATGCTAGACAATAAAATTCATGGTTTGATGTTCAGTTCCTGAACAGAGAAGCAATCAAAGACCATTATACTTCCTCTAACATGTTTTACCATCCAATGTATAACACTTCCCCTGAATAGAAATGAAAATTGCATTTTTAGTAGGTTTCTGGATATTTAAAATATTTCTATGAGCTGAAAAAAACTAATCTTGAAGAAATCTGTAAGGAGAAATTATCTTTTTCAAAGCATGAGTTAAATGGCAGAAAAACAGTTTTAGTTCATGCTGGATAGAAATGTTCTCTCATTCTATAGATCTGCACCTTCTGTGTAAAACCTTCCAAAAACAAACCTACCTGTGCCAGCACACATGAAGGTGCACTAAATATTCAAGGAGGCCACAACAGAGCCTGTCTATCTAATCTGGTTCTGGAACATTCTCAGGCTGAGTTTTGCACCAATTAGTGAAATGGAGCCCAGGCTGAAGTTCAACTGAAGAAACTCGTTGCTCTCCTACATCAACCTGCGACACAGCCAATCAGCTTTGAACCACGCCTCCACGAAAGCCAATCGGCATCCAAAGTTCATCTTAAAAGGCCTCCGATCGCACTCCTTCGCTCCTGTGTGCAGGCGGCGGATGCGCTCTGACTTCTATCAGATGACACCAATTTAACTCGAAGTGACTTTGGATCCTCTGCTCCGGCTGCTGCTCGGATCCTCTGACACACCTGTTGATCCACACAATGCTGCAGAGATCGGCGGCTCTGCCACGCCCTGTTTCCCCGTCTCCAAACATTTCTGTGTTTCAGCCATCGGCAGCCACATCGGCTCGCTCTGCGTTCAGCTCTCTGACACCGATTCTCTTCCGTTGGGACGTATCGCTTCAAGCCTCCAGTGTTTCCTCATTCGTACCTTCACTTCTTTGCTCTATTAAAAATATCCCACGCTCATCACATCATACCTGCGTTTCTTTCAGTCTGTTTCCGTTTCAACTCATGCTTAATGTAAGGAAGCCTGAATTTAGAAACCGAAGTTTAGTGGAAAGTAGTTGTTCCTATTGCCACTGACTTTAATTAATCATTTAAACTTAATATTTAATATTGATGGTGCCCTCCGTCATCGCGCCGGGCGCCTCATGGCGCCTTCCATCATCGCGCCGGGCGCCTCATGGCGCCTTCCGTCATCGCGCCGGGCGCCTCATGGCGCTTCCATCTTCTTGGCGGGCACCTTCCATCTTTGTGGTGGGCGCCTTCGCTCTTCGCAGCAGGCACCTCATGGCGCCTTCCATCTTCACGCCGGGCGTTTCATGGCGCGTTCCATTGTGGGTGTTTATTGCACCAGCATTGCAGTGGGAATTTTATGCTGACTTCTAGCATCGCAGCGGACGGCTCATGGCGCCTTCCATCTTCGCAGTGGCCGCCTCATGGTGCCTATCATTGTGGGTTTTTATGGCCCCAGCATCGCGCCGGGCATTTTATGCCACCTTCCATCTTCACTGCGAATGAAGAAACTCGTCGCTTTCCTACATCCACCTGCGACACAGCCAATCATCTTTGAACCAAACCCCCATGCAAGCCAATCGGCATCCAAAGCTCATCTCAAAAGGCCTCCGATGTGCACTGTCTGCTCCTGTGTGCAGGTGGTGGTTCCGCTGTCTGACATCATTCAGATGAAACCATTTCCTCCCCCCTCCATCCCTCCTCCACCATCGTAGCTAAAGCTTCATCAGAGCGTCATTCCTCCCGGACTCTTACTGCGTTCCCTGTCTCATCTTAACCAGTCCGGCAGAAGACCACCATGCTGAGCCTGGTTCTGCCAGAGGTTTCTTACCAACTGGGAGTTTTCCTCTCCACTGTCACTTCATGCTTGCTCATCATGGACAGGTTCTCTCATCCTGTGTTATCCAACTGGACTTCCATCTTCCAGATCCCTGAGTGAAGCTCTAGTATCAGCTCACGCAGTCCACTGGATCTCCCCAGAGAGCTCAGCAAACCGTCTCTCTAACCAGCAGTCTACAGACTGACCAACTTCATCTATCTCCACTGCACCACCAGTTTCAGGCCTGGGGGGGAAACAGCCCTGTTCTTTATTCCAGTTCATGCATATCTATCAAAATTAAGCGCTATGTTTCCTGCCGAGGTCTGAGCACCAAAGACTAAGTAATGGTATCAATAAAATTCTCCTAAATGTCTTTTATCTCTGTGTGAGTTTTTCAGATTGAACTGAGTGTGCAACTGGCACCGTCTCTGCAAAGGCTGCTTCAGGGCGAGATACCTGAATACCAAGATATGATGACTAGTGCCATCAAATCCTAAACTTCTGCTCAAACTAACAGACTAAACAAGTCAGAATATACATTTTTTTGTTTTATATATTGACCAGTCTGACTTAAAGAAATACAATTAAAATCCAGAATTAAAATCTGTAAGAAATAAACTCAGCAGACATCATCTAATTCTCCAGAAACATTGTTAGTTCAAATTATCATTGTGAGAAAAAATGTTGATGGCTTAAAAAACAGAGAAAGTTAGTCTTATCTCTAAGTACCATGTTTGGTTTTGTTCTTACTATATGAGGGTAGATTTGTTTCTTTACAATTCAATAAAAACTTACTTGAGTCAAAAAATATATTTTCAAAAAGACCTTCACTTCAATAAAAAAAAACTTTTCAATCAAAGAAATAAAGAAAGAAATATAGTTGACTCAAAAAACTACATTTGAAGTCTTATTTTGTTTGATTGGAAATATTTTCTTTGATATAAGTCAATTTTTATTTGTTTAAAGTCATGTTTTAGTTTAAGTAATATTGTTTTTTTTTATTTGACCATATAACGGTTTGGACATCAGTGTCTTATCATTCAAAAAGAAGTTGCTTAAAAAAAAAAAAAAAAAAGTTTTCAATCACAGAAAATAGTTTTTGAGTGCAGATAAAATATTGGAGACTTCAAAAATGTAAATCTTTTTTTATGTTATTGAAAATGTTCTCTTTTATCGTAGTAATCTTTTTGTGTCTGGACCTTACATACCTCATCCTAACATGGGGAGGACATTTGACTGTTTCAATCGAAGAAAAAACTGTTCAAATGCAAAAAAATACTCACCTGAATTTTTGTTTTTAGAAGAGAATGTTTTTTGTATTTTTCTTTGAATGAAAAAATTTGTGTGCAAGACGTTGTGGTTGGTGTAGACAGCTGTCAATCAAAGAGGTCTGACCAAAAGAGAAGCACCCGCCCACTGCGACACGTTGGTGGCAAAATAATTCAAACAAAAAAAAACACTTCAAAACTTTCTTCAGTTTAAAAAACAAAAAACAACAACATAAAAAACAAAGCAAAACAAAAAAAAACATTATCTTTAAAACTTTTTTATTCAGGGTTTTTTTTTTTAAGTTTTGCTCTCTGCTCTCCGTCGTATGCAGTGAAAAGTAGAACTCTTTTACTGGTTGGTCTTCATTCCTGCCCTTATCTACGGTCATTAAATCTGGACCCAATCGCTGTCCAACCCAGGACGCTATGGAGGGACAGCGCCTCAGGCTTCCCCAGGAGGACTCTGGGGGGAGGGAAGCCTGGGGGTCTCTGCTGAGACTGCTGGTCCCACATTAAGTGAAGGACGATGACCACATGGTGCTGAAAATGTTGCTTTACTTTCCAACAGTCATGGTGGTGATAATACTTTAAAAGTGACCTGAATGGATTATTAAGATAGAAGCGTTGTCATGATGTGAATATTCTGTTGATCAGGTTAGATAAATGCTGCTGTTTCTGTTTTGTTCTTTTCATTTTCAGACCCTCCCTTCATTTCAAAGGCGAGGAGTACAGGAACTCCAGTTGGACAGAGAGGAGTTCTGCAGTGTGAAGCCTCGGCTGTTCCCAGGGCAGAATTTGAGTGGTACAAAGAAGACCGCAGGCAAGGATCCTCCCTGTTCTGCTGTTCTTCTGCTCTGCATCTATATGAATGACTCACAGTTTGACTTTTGGTAGAATACTGCACCTAAACTCTATTGTTTATTTATTTACCAGTGGTGGTCCTTCACGTTTTCATGCTTTTGATTAAGATGAATAGGAGATAGAGACCGGAAAAGGACTTTCTGAAAAGCTTAGAAGCTGTTAAACATGAGGAGCTGTAAATCCCATATAAAACACTTTAATTTTAAATATTTACATTCTCTAACAGACATACATTTTATCACTCAAACATATAAATTCTAGAAGGGTGCTGCTTAAGTAGCTCTGCTAACTTTATTCTGGTATTCTTTTGTTCACTGTTTGTCAGTTGTTGGGAAACTGGAAGGATTTCTTTTTTTCATTTTTTTGATACCCTTTATAATGCGTAACCACAGCAACCCAAGCAAGTGGATCTTTTTATCCCTGGGAGGGGCTAATTAACAACTCTAAACCTGACATAATACATTTACTACTTCCATAAGTACCTGCTGAGAGGAGAAGGAGATGGATTCAGAGCAGGAGTGAGGAGATGAGGGAGGAACAAGAAATTCAAGCCATCTCATCCATCAATCATCATGGGCAATGTGAGATCTTTAGAAAACAAGTTAGAAGAACTTTAAGCCCCAGCAAGGACCCAGCCAGACTATCAGCAATGCAGCATTATGACTGGGAAACCTAATGGAGGGGGGTTGGCAGTGTTAGTGATCAACAGATGGTGTCATCCAGGACATGTCAGTGTGAACATTCATCACTGCAGCCCAGATGTTGAACTGTTGGCTCTCTGTCATGATCTCAGCTTCTCTGATCAATCACCTCATTCACCTGCCGTTCCCTCCCCGCTCTCCAATTATCATTCATCTTATTCACCTGCTTCCTCTGCAGTCATGACGGACCTCAAAGGGCAGATTCCTGGATTCCTTACGGGGCCTGCAATCATGACAGTTTTTAAGGTTGACTGAGTAACTTTTACTTGTAGTTAAGTAAGATTTGACTATGAGTATGTGTTACTGTAGTATTTACTTTCCCTTTGAGATTAATTCAATTCAATTCAATTCAATTCAGTTTATTTATATAGCGCCAAATTCACAACACGTCATCTCAAGGCACTTTACAGATCAACCAGATCATACAATCAAATTGATACAAAGTTTTCTATC